CACTTTCCACATTTTCATGACTCTGCCATATTGCTAGGTCATCAGCGTACAAGGATTTTTCGGCCTTGATTTGTTCTGGCAGGTCATTGGCAGGTCAGCCAGTTATATAATCTGCCATGTATTCCTATGCTCATCCTCTTCATCAGGAGACCCTTTCTCCATACTCTGCCATAGACCTGCTGGAGGTCGACAAAGACGGCCACTGTGTTTCTTATTCTGGAAGCCATTATGTATTTTTGTGTCAGTCTGAACAGCTGGTCTTCTGTACAGCTGTTGGTTCTGAAGCCTGCCTGTTCATGACATAGAACACCAGCACTCTCTAGGAACCAATACAAGCGCCTTTTTATCATTCATTCTGCAACTTTGCCCAAGCATGACATTAAGGATATCGGGCGGTAACTTTTGGGGTCGTCTGGAGGCTTTTTGGTTTTATAATGGGGACGATGTATGCATTCCTCCATTCCTTTGAAAGTTTGCTTGACCTCCAAGTTTTATTAATAAGCCTGAGAACTACTTCTCTTTCAGACCGGCCAAGATGTAGGAGCATTTCGTTGTGGATCTTATCTGAGCCTGGGGATTTTCTAGGTTTTAATTTCTTCATGGCTTGTTCTAATTCATCCATGCTAAACTCATCTTCATCTGTTGGAGCTCTCTCTTGTTTTATCAACTGAGAGAGCTCCAACAGATGAAGATGAGTTTAGCATGGATGAATTAGAACAAGCCATGAAGAAATTAAAACCTAGAAAATCCCCAGGCTCAGATAAGATCCACAACGAAATGCTCTTGTTTTATCAACTGAGAGAGCTGTGTTCTATCAAGTTATGACAGCTTACCTGCTCTGTTAACCGAGGCAAAATAATGATTGAAATGTTCTGCTTTCTTCTTGTCTTCAGTGATTATCTTACTCCCATCTGTCACTGGTTTTGGGTTCACCCTTCTACTTTCTCCGGAGAGGTTTTTAACTAAAGTCCATGCTTTATTTCCATTCTGTCTAAGGTCTAAGTTGGAGCAAGTTTCTGTCCATTTATCTCTCTTAGCCTTATTAACTACAAGCTTTACTCTGGCACATGCTTTATTGTATGGATCTTTGCTTCTGTTGAACGTGCAGTTTCGAGCAATATTCTTGCTTTATTCCTTTCAGATACAGCATTTTTAATTTGTTTATTCCAGAAAGGTTTATATGCCTTTCGGCTACCCCTTGGGATGGCTTTCAACGCTGCATTCAAGATTGCTTCTGTTATATCTTCACAAAACGTTTCCACACAGCTGTTGTCAATTCTTCACAGGAGGCAGTCAGATGTTTCTTGAAATAGTTTCCAGTTTGCTTTTCGGAAATTCCAACGGGTTCTCTGCTTGAAGCGTAATTGAGCGGTGGTGCTTACAGTTGTAAGTATAGGTTTGTGGTCACTTCCTATGTCGTCCAGGACTTGAGGATAACTTGCGTCTGCCAATTCGGATGAGCAGATGGTCAGATCAGGTTGGCTGAGAGATTGGTGGGCCATGTGTAACAGTGTAGGTGTAGACTCTGTGTCCTGCAGCACTAATATGTTAGTTGTTTCACAAGTATCTTCGAAGTATTTCCCTGTGTTATTGTAGTCAGGGTAACCCCAACTTGGAGAGTGTCCGTTGAAGTCACCAACAAAAAGGGTTTTATGGTACTGCGTCTTGTATAGTTCTGGTATGTTGCATGTTGTGCCAGATAGTTATTTTTTGCACATCTGTAGGGTGAGATGTCGATAGCATTGTTACATCTTCTTGTATGTCATTTCAGATATAGGTCACTATGCCCCGGCAGTCATTGCACTTACAGGCATAACTAGTATATCCAGTGAGATGCAGATCAGAGTCTTTATGCAGGGTTTCTTGTAGGGCAGCCACATGTTCCCTGTGGTTGTTTAGCAGTGTGGCAATTTCAAGTTTCTTATTTCCTATTCCACAGATGTTCAGCTGCATAATATTAAGCATCTGTGTATTTTTTGTTGTGCGGTCTGAGTTCTCTTTGCTCTCCCTCCCACTCTTCCTCCTCCTGGGGTGTCTGATTTTCCTATTTATCTTAAATTTTCAAGTAGCCAATTTTTCGCACATGACAGCCTGGTTTCCCACTGTCTGGCGCGGGCCTTGATAGACGAGGCGACGACCGATCTCGTATGTTTTCTTAGATTTTGACAAATTCATGGCATTGTGGTGCTGGGGTGTCTGTGGATTACCTACCTCCCCGGGCAGCAGCTAGAAATGCCCTGTACCAGTTCCAAAGGAGATATAAGTTGTGTTTCTGCCTTCCCCTTTAACACGTAGCTAAGGTGAGGCTCACAGTGTGCTCATTCCCCGCCATCAGATGGCCTGCTGGTTTCGCTGAGCTCTTCATGGCTCTAAGCATGGCCTAAGCATGAGTAGTTGGGGCAACTGGATCGTCACGTCCTGAGTCCCTGTGCCTTCACGATAGTTTCCGGTATTCAGGGGGATCAGCATACGTGTTTCCATTCCTAAGACTGTTCAGCACACCTCCGGCTCCTTCCCTCCCACAATGGGCAGTACAGTGTTGTTGCACAGGGTTTATTATCGAGGTTTGCTCCTCTAGATCAATTGTGTTTTGCCTGGGGATTCGCACCCCCAGTTACCAGGACTACCTCGGGGAGGCTCTGACTCTTCGCCACACACAATGGTCTTGAGGTAAGAGAGGTTTTGCTAGGTCAAAAGGCTGACACCGCAATGGACGCTCCTTTCGTGAACAGATATTCACTAGACCTAGGGTGAAGTAAAGGGGGGGGGGAACCACTACCCACAACACCAACACTTCTTACCCCCTGCCTCTTGAAGCTCAGTCCCACAAGTTTTTCGGTTAAGCTGGGCTTTTCTAGAAAAACAATACCTAAGAGACCATTAGTTAGTAAAGAGGAAATAGCATTTCCAGAACGAAAGAAAGACTGTGGTCTGATAAAATCTCTGTTGGTTTATAACTCTGAAATCATACGGTCTTTAAACAACAAAAAGTTAGCATACGAAAACTCAACATTATGTTAAAAAATACGGCAGAGTTTAGGCAACCAGGCAATTCTTCTGTGAGTGGATGACAGAAATCTTTGCTGCCACAGCGAAACGGTATCTACAAAACGGGCTGACTGAGAAAGTTCTTACACTGGACAATGCGCCAGGACATCCACTACAGTTCGAAGAAGATTTGCATAAAGAATATAATGTCGTTAAAATTGAATTCTTGCCTCCAAACACCATATCAATCCTAAAAGCGGCTAGTGTGTCTTTTTTCTAACTTTTAAAAACTTTATTCAAAGCTCTTTTATAAACAGGTTTCGATGTTACACATAATTAATCCTCATGGAATTCTCAAAGAATCACTTCAATATTCTACACTGCTTGCGTCTTATTAATCAAGTATGGGAAAATCTTTTGTGAGAACACTAAAATCAGCAAGGAAGAAAAATTGATGGTCTGACTGTGTCCGAGGAACTGCACAGGATGGAACTGAAAGCGAAACTGATATCATAGATAGAGTTGTCTCCCTGGGCAAGACAGTGCATTTAGAAGTTGATGAAGCAGACTTAGAGGAGCGTAACATTGAACTGACCAATGAAGAGCTTCAAGAGTTAAAAACTGAACTGGAAAACGAAAGGGGTGATTTTTTTTTTAATTTAGTATTTTATTTTTTATTTTCACAGTTTAAAATGGAAAATAATTTTCATACTACATACGTGTGAAGCCAAAGACTGGATAAACAAAACCTTGTAAAAAAAAAAAATAACTTGTTTTTTAACAAAATGTAATTTGTTTATTTTATTTTTTATTTTTTATTTTTTATTTTTTTTTTTATTTTGAACACAATGTTCCTTCTACATCTTGACCTGTTTCTTAAGATTTCCCTCATTTAGGCGAGATAAATTGTTTCCATTATTTTTTTTTTTAAAGATCTAATGTGGAAATCGGGTTTTGAGATGTGCAATCTATTTTCTTGACACTTTGAGTTAGCTGGTCCGCAGTGAGAGGGAAGGAGAGTGGGTGGATTGGGTTTCATTTCAAAGGTGAATGGACACTGGTTTCAAACAGAGAGCCTCGTATAGAAGGTCACAACGTCGGTATGAGAGCTGAGGTGGAGGCAGTAACGACAGATTTCCGATGCCTTGGGGGCACCACACCCCGACATGTTGTTATTGTAATAGACTCCCATAACTTGCGTTGTAAAATTGAAACTGGCGTCCTGTGCGCAGAGTGGCCTGTATCACTCGATAAGATCCATATCATGAGCACATCGTGGATTTTCTGTCCAGGATATTCAGGAGTGTGAGGCGATAAGCATGCTGATAGATTAGCTGCCTTCACCCTTATGTTCGATGAGCTACTTTGTGATAGAGCGAATGTAGTAAAGGCTCTATGGAATAAAATGGACAGTACTATTGAGCAGATAGAGAATCCATACATTGAAGACTAATGATGTTGGGGGGGGGGGGTAGAGGTACTGAAAGATATTTAACATTGAGAGGGGATGTAGGTAGGTAAGTTGTACCCCACCATGACATCACACAATCGATAAACACTTGGTGACACAAAATGCCACCATTTTGAAAATGATCACCCGTGGAATGGTCGTTAGGCCATATTTAAGGCCAGTTATGTTTAGCGCCCTTGGCAAAAGCCACAGTGGGGCTTCAAAATAACACAAAATTGCATCCCACAGGGGGACGACGATACATCTGCTGTTATTGAGGGGGAAACAGAGGTAGACTTTTTAATCAGGTACTATTAGCATGTTAACTCTTCTTTGGCTACAGAAAAATGGGACGGACCACGTTTGGGAATGTACCAATGTCAATTCTTGATTTATTTATTTAAAATTATTTATTTATGTATTTATTTGTGCTTGCAGTAAATCTGCAGAAGCATTACTACAATAGCCTAATGATAACCTACTTAGAATTGTCTCAACTGGGCAGACATGTCATCCCGTTGGAAAGTGTGAATGTACGCCATGATGTGTTACTGGTTCACAGGTGTAGCTTGCCAAGGGCAGGCCGACATTTTGTTCATCCTGGATTCCTCTTCGAGCATTTCTCGCGCCAGTTACAACACAATGATCAATTTTGTCATAAATGTCACTCGCAATTTTTACATCGGACCCAACACCGTACAGTTCGCTGCCGTTGTCTTTGGTAGCGCCCCTTATTTGCAGTTCAACTTTAACATTTTTACAGATCATCTGGCACTTGAACAGGTTCGTATTTTTTAAAACTTACATTTTGGATATGTATACTCTATAAGAAATATGGTTTAGAAATTATACATGAGGAACCATGTGTGAGCAAAAAAATAGAAAGGTCAAGAACCCTTCAGACGTTTTGGGGGCATCGGTCATATGGTGCTAGACAACTATTTGCATAGATCATCTGAAACATGATGGCTGATATGGTAAACATTGCATTTGTCACCTTTGCTTCCCAGATTATTTTCTAGTATCCATTTAAGGATAGATTTCCCTGTAAGCCTAGATTACTTATTTTACATAATTCTTCAGGGTACAGATACAAGATGCCAAAAACCTTCCGGCTGGGAACAATGTATCTAGTCACTGCTCTGTCGCGATTAAGATGTTCTGCTCGGTCCACTGACTGCTCTTCATTAATAGCAGCAAGGCCAGCCAACCATAGGTTGTTTTTTTTTTAGTTTGACACAAGCTATTAAAGCTCATTCGATGTACTGGCTCGTGCCAGATCTTGGTCGTATATGACTGAGCTACCGTATAACTGTGGCCGGTACGACCTGTATTCTGCTAACGCCGAATGCTAGGCATCGTATTCAAAAACATGCCATCACATACTGAGCCAATGGCTTCGGGTGAAGCAGTGCATTGGGGAGGATAATAGACTTATCCTAGAAAGAGGAAATGCAACCCAAAAATCGTATATCAGATACAAGTTTTTAAGCTGGTCTGGAAGGGAAGCTCCTTTAGGAGGACAGATAGAGCACTGCTTTTCTGATCAGGAGACTTCTGCAGCATGCTTTATTCCAAACGTACTCATGTTACCTTTCCTTTGGAGTAAATAAGGTAGATCTAGAGAGAAATCATGTCGCATGATCAGCATATGGTCTCTACATTACTACCAAGACTTTGTACTTGTGAGAGTTACGGCTTGCCACATTAAATGTAAGGACCTTGTGTCCTGGGTTTTCCATTGACCTGAGAAACATTATTGATGTGAGAAAAGCAGCTTTCCATTGATGCCGAGCCTCAATAAACTTGGCATAGATATTGTTGGCCTACAGGAGCAGTCTGCCAGAGGATGGGTCCTTAAGAGAAAATAATTATTTTTTCTTCTGGAAAGGCAAAGGCCAGGAAGAAATCTAGAAGTATGGAGTGGTAAAGGTGAAGATAAAGTCAGGAGATGTGAACCAGCGTCATTGTACACGGTTATAAACCATAAGTGCTCTGCTTCAGTGCAGAGAGCTGATAAGAAACAGTCCGCCTGTGTCGCCGTCCACACGCAACTCTGTAGCGACGTTCCTATGTTTACCCCAGAGTGTTAACACTAGAGATCCATTACCTGAGGTGAACCGCCAGGTAGCGAACACCGGCTGTTGGCTGCAGCGAGTAGAAGCTGGATTTGAGAGCTAGTCTCCTATCGACTGCGCTAACGTGGCTTGACTTTGGTAATGGGACGAGAACCGGTATTTGAAAACATGTTATGGCCGTAGACAAATGGAGTGGGATTTGCAGAAAAGAATTCACTGTTGGGGTCAGTTGTGAGTCTAACTAACGTAAATGACAGAATATGATCCCTACGATTGTTTATCTTAGGCGATTGTGTCACCCTTGTCACTGCATGAGCACCCACACTAACATTAACTGAGAATGCAAAAAAAATTTATGAGTAACTGGATAATGCGTTTACAGCAAATCTTGAATCGGATGCATGATGGCCAGTTTCTTGAAACAAAAATTATATTGGTCACATGAATGGCAATATGCAAAGACTATTGGAACTCTGAACTAGAAATGACCTGTGCAACACAATTCTTTCTCAAAACTAAAGACCGTTATAGAAACATTTAAGGTTTGGCCTCTGGCCCCAAGTGTATCTTATTCTCGCAAAAAAGGCAGCACTTGAACTATGTATTATTAACACGCAGCTACCACAGTGCTGACTATGCAACTGACCATTCCCTAGTTGCTACAAGAGTTTGGGTAGAAACCAAAGAGAATTTTCACTTCAAGAAATAAATTTATTCCTATGTTAAATATTTCTAAAATTCAAGACCCTGAAAGGTGTTTTGATTTGCAACAACAGCTCGGAGATGCTTTTACTGATATCCAGAATAAGTCTACAGTCAGTTTAAAATGGGATGTCTATAATACAGCCGCAACAGTCTATAGGATTAGAAAACACAAGTCAGGACTGGTTTTAAGCTAATAGTCAGACACTCCAGTCTGACAGCATTAAGGTAATACTCTGGGAAAACAAAAAAGGAACACTAAGGAACGCCCTAAGTGAATTGAGAGAAGCTAGAAATCATCTGCAAAAGGTAGGTACACCGTGTGTGCTAACAACTACTGACTCCAGTTATGTGGAAGCATTCACATTGCTAGCTGTGGTGGGAATATTAGAGGCATGTATAGAGCCACTGAAAAAGAATGTCATCGGCCAGATTAATAAAAAAGTGCACCACTAAAAAGTTTGAATGGGGAGATTAACATTGACTAGAAGAAGCTGTCAATAGTTGGGTGAACTCAGTTGAGACCAAAATAAGAGATGGTACTCTTAATGTCATGAAGACACCCACAATTCTTGACTATCTGAATACATTTCCAACTATTATAGAAGCTGGGAATGCTATTGACAAACTTCCTTCAGGGTAGGTCCCAGACAGAGATTGAATTCATGCTGAGATCATTAGGAGCGGGAAAGACATTCTAATCGCACACATGTAACTAGCTAATAACACTCTGTTGGGATGAGGATAGGTCAAACAGGAATTCAAAGATTTGAGCATTACAACTATTCACACGAATAATACCGATCAGAAGGACTGCAATTACTACTGAGGAATACCACTTTTGTGTGCTTCTGGAAAAGTACTTGCGAGAATTGCTCTGTGAAGACTTCAGATCCAAGGAGACCCAGTCACCGTATGGCTTTCGTGAAACCATTTTCATAAAAATAATTTTCTGTTCAATATTGTAAAGACCTGCTTTTCTTCCCATACAGTTGTAGGTGCCATTGGTAGAACAAGCTTAGAGCATCAATAGAACAGATGCTGAAAGCTTGGTTTTCATCTGATAACTTTTGATTTGATTCGTGAAATTAATCACTACTTCACATAATCAAGCTTTTTCAAAACATGCGTTTCACGTATCTGAGTGTCGTATTTTAAAGTATAGTTCACAGAATTGTACATGCATATAACATTCATGCATGTCATATTTTAACGTGTAGTTCACATAATATTTTATATATTTACGTGTTATATTTCGAGCACAGCACACAATGTGTTTGATCTGTAAATGCGGAACATATAGTCCCACAATCTTACTTTTCTTTCTCCCTCTCATCATATAGGCCCTGCATCGAATGGCATATCTAGCGCAAACTTCTGACACAGACAAGGCACTGCAGCTAGCAAGAGAACATATCTTTACCCTAGCCCACGGGTCCCGACCTTATGTACCTAAGATTGCAGTTACCATCACCGACGGGCCATCCACAAATCCATTGAGAACGGCGGCGGAAGCAAAAAAGCTAAAGGATGCTGGTATTCAAATGATCGCTATTGATGTTGGAACCCTGCTCAATCAGGAACTACAAGCATTGGCGTCTACTTCCAACGATGTGTTTACAGTTGCCGACTTCGATCAGTTGTATAGCATCCAGAGCAGCATCACCAGCAGGACTTGTGCCAAAAGTATTGTCTCCGTTGTTGCATACATCTGTTTTTAGACTATTCTCAGAATAACGGTCGTAAATTATCGAGGTGGAAAATATACCCTAACAGGGCCTCAGTCACATGTCAATTGCGCACTTCTGGGTACTATAACACCACCGCCAAATTGCGAACTTTAGGCAACTTCCGCTACAGCCGATGGTGTCCCACACGCCGCTCACGCGGCGTGGATTGGGGCTAAACTATATGGCTAGGACTCACGAGCAAATAAAATGAAGGAAGCTGCAGGAGATGCGGTAGCTGCTGCTCGTGAGTCCTAGCCATCTAGTTTAGCCCCAATCCACGCCGCAATTCGGCGGTGGCGAAAGTCGCCGGAAGCTCGCATTTTAAGACGACGGAACTGCGCAATTGACACGTGACGAGGGTAAATTTTCCGCCTCGATAATTTACGACCGTTATTCGGAGGATAGTCTGTTTTTGTTTTCAAAATCCTCAGTTGATGTGTTTGTACGGTCACACGTGTACTAGACCTATAATTTGATGGGCTAACTGTCGTCCTATGGGTATTGGGGTTACACCGGTTGCCTATACTTCCATCTTTCCAGAATTTTAGGCGCGTCAATCTCAGAATCCAGTAATAATCTTTTAAACCGCCTCCCTGCTAGATTTGAACCCAAGACTTTTATTGCTTCCTCGGCTACAAATGTATTTATTGGAACGTCTATTCTCATATGCGGCTTGCCTCAACAATGACGTAATTCTGTAAGAATAAGCTGAAATCTGTTGACAAGGCACTGAAAGAACCCTTTGGAGGAAGCCGGCTTATTACTGATCACAACCAGTTTGTGTTGATTTGATTTATTGCATGGTGTCCTCTTCCTGTATATGTGAAGTCCAAAAACTGATCTTGCATACATTTATAGTTCATCAGCTAGCAGACTGAAAGAAGAGCTATGCAACACAGTCTCAGTGAGAATATATCTCAGTACCAGGCTAGGAGAAAGGCATATCGGGTTAGGAGAAAACTACACCGGGTTAGGAGAAAGCTATACCGGGTTAGGGGAAAGTTATACCAGGTTAGGAGAAAGGCATACGAGGTTAGGAGAGAGGTATACCAGGCTATGAGAAAGTTATACGAGGTTAGGAGAAAGTTATACCAGTTTCTGAGAAAGTTATACCAGGTTAGGAGAAAGGTATACCAGGTTAGGAGAAAGTTATAACAGATTAGGAGAAAGGTATACCGGGTTAGAAGAAAGTTATACCAGGCTAGGAGAAAAATATTCCAGGTTAGGAAAAACGTATTCCAAGTTAGAAGAAAGGTATTCCAGATTCGGAGAAAGGTATTCCAGGTTTGGAGAAAGATATATTAGGTTAAAGTATTTAAGCTAACTACACTTCCAGAGTAAGCAGCTTTTTTTTTTTTTCATCTATAACTCTGTGAACGCCAGTGATTAGCACTTAAGAAATAAAACCCAGTTTTTAAGAACCAAACGTGAGGAACAAGGAATAATAACAGTATTTTCCTGTTGTGAAGTTACTGTGAATAATTAGTACAGTCTATTGCAAAATTGATTCCATGAAACCAAACAAAAGGGAAACGTTCGATTCTTTCGTGGCGAGCTATCTGTGTATGTACTCCAGGCAAGGGTTACTGAATTTTTTTTTTAATTCGTGGGGGGGGGGGGTGTTGGAGGGGGGGGGGGGTGGGAGAGGAAATAGTATTATATTTTGGGGGGAAATATACCAAAACGCACGAAAAGGTAAACATTTCTAATTCTTTATTAATAAACCATTGAAACGTCTTCAAACACACACACACACACACACACAAACCTAAATATATGCGTGTGTGTGTCCAGATATGTATATGTGTGTTTGTGTGTATATATATATATATATATATATATATATATATATATATATATATATATATATATATAAGTATTATGTGTGTAAATATATACATATATATAAAACTGGCTTTCATTATATTTGATCAGAATTGAGTTTGTGTGTCCATTACATCGTTGTTTTATTTATTTATTTATTTATTTTTTCGCTCAGTATTTTAAACAGCGTTTTATTAGCTTCCAGTTAGTGCATTTAATGTCAAGGAGCAATAGCTTTGATCTTATAAATTCATTTATTGTTGGTCTACAAGGAAGAGCGATTTTTTAATCTCAGTACGTTAGACAGAGCAAATAACGCTTTCTGCAGCTGCAAAAGAATGAGGCAATGCCAAAAGACTTATGCAATAATGTTGGTGGTAGTGGAAAGCCATTTTCATCTCCACATTTTATTTCTTTGAAATTGTAAATCATATTCTGGTGTTCCGCGTGACTTTTGTATCACCGCAATCCCACACCCTTGTCTACGGCTGCCACATTGATTCACATTGTAGGTGTCATAGGAGTCCCATCCAACAGCCGTGATATGCGCCTGCATGTTTATGGAGTTTTGCTGGGTATTTGTCAGTTGTGTGTTGAAGCTGTTCGGTACACGAATGGTATCTAGTCTACAAACCGTATGTAAGAGGGGTTTAAAGGTACTTCACATTCACATAAAAAAAATGTTTGACAACAGTAGCTTTCTGCACGATGCAAAAATTAGAACTCGTATTGTTCTATGCACGTGATACATCGGCAACGAGTAAACAGGATGAAGAGATTGTTTTGAGAAAGGATAAACTCGAAAACCTGGTCAAGTTTTTTTTTTTTTTTTCTACTCTAGTGAAAGGCAAGGAGATTTTTTTAAAAATACGAGGCATTAAAGTTAGGAGAGACAAGAACACAGACCTGGTTATCAATTCCCGTGATAGTCTAAGATGGCGAACCATGACTACATACGCTTATTGGTATGAAACATCACAAGAAAGACATAGAGTTGCAACTACACGAGCAATGTTAGGAAAATGTACTGCACAATTCGCAATGTTGTTTTCCTACAGTATTATTTAAATATTTCTGTCACCCATGGGCCATTTTCCGAGTCAAACGTCTTTAGCAGCACACTAGGAAATATTTACCCCTTGTCAGTCCCATATATTCTTGATTGTTATACATCTATATATTGGTTGTGTCTCAGTGTACATTAACAAGGCGTCTTTTGTTTCTTCCCCAGTTAACCCATCTAAAGATGCATGTAAGTATGTGTGATTCACTGTCACTTGAATGTGAAACGCCATAGCAATAATATAAAGGTTAATTGCGTTCATTTGTGCCAATATCAGATAATGAGCTCATACAAAGAATACAAGGTATACCTGTAGTTATAAGAGAACAAACTTGGAAAAGAGGGGTTGTAAAATAAGAAGGAACAGCTATCGAAGTCTCTAGCCGAGATTTAAGAAAAGACTGCATCGAAACAAAAGCACAAAGTGTGTCATGCCTTTGGTGTGGTGTTATTTTATTGAAACTTATCAATTCTAGCAATAACTCCAGTGTGTCAAGGCGAAACAATCTCAGATCTGCTCGCATGCACATTATCAGCCGCTTCTCCTGGCTGACCTCTTAGCAATGCCTTGTGCAGGCATAGTTCAATGGCAGATGTGTAATATCTGGATTGTGTTTCAAATGTAGTATTTACAACTGATAATGTTCTAGCGCTAGGTCCGCGAGCTTAATGTTCAGTTTTTGTTAAATTTTAACAAGAAAACAATGTATATTTAAACTGCGCTCTGCTAGAAAACTTTTTTTTTTAAACAATTTTGATTTAATTTGTAAACTTTGTTTAAACCCCTGATGTGAACACCGGGCCACTGGTTTGGGCAGTCTTGAGAGAACAGACTATTTTTGCTTACAGATATAAAGATATACTACACAAATATGTCGGCGTCTGTGGCTCAGGCGTTACGAACGCGCTTTGTAATGCCGGGCTGCTGGGTTCGATCTATTGCCTCGCGTTGGTTTCGACAGTGGTTGTGAGAGCCAAACGTCTGTAAACTGCTGAAGGTAAAATTAGCCTAGAAAAGCTACAACTGACCCCCTCCCACCCCCCACCCCCCTTTTCCATCCCAAACAAATATTGATGTGGTTGGCACTGCAACGTTCTGTAAATGATTGGCAACAAACTTGTTTTAATACAAAGACAACTCGAAGCCCAGACGAGACTTGGGGTTCAACATGGAAAACTTCAATTTCTTGGTGGCCAACTTCAAATGTCAAACTAAGCTATGTTATTTTTTATTATAAATAATAGTTGCATCATCATCATCATCATCAAGTGCCATGTCAACTGGCGAAGGCGCTCAAGCGTCTCCACAGGTCAGGATTCACGGTTGCCTGGAACAGCTGTCTTGATGATATTCCTCCATGCCATCGTTTCAGTTCATCCAGCATATGGATATAGTTGCACAGAAGACTGTATATTGTTTGTATTCTTACTGTGTTTAAAATAGAAATGATTGTGTGTGATGTAACTTCTCAGTGTATTTAAAACCCGTCAGCTCAAATTGGTACACCCAATGTGTGCAGTCTATTCTGTGAAAAATCATTTTCCATAAAACTGCAAGCCTCACAGGGTTTAGTCTCTCGTGTGGCATTGATGATGTCTCTCCTGTCCATAGAGGGTCCATTTCTGATAGTCGCATTGCCAGCCAGAGAATCTGCTCTCTCTCTCTCTCTCTCTCTCTCTCTCTCTCTCTCTCTCTCTCTCTCTCTCTCTCTCTCTCTCTCTCTCTCTCGTGTCTTTCATGCCATTATGACCTGGGACAAAATGAAGGTGCAAAACTCTGCGTGTCGTTCCAGATTGAGCTACTGTTTCCGTATGCCCTATTCTTGTGTAGCGTGCTCACTGTGTCGCCGAGAAAGCATGAATTGGTCCATTTCTAAATTTTCAGCCATTCTATGTTCTTTGTCACAGGCATGGCCTCCACTGTCATGCTGCTGGTGATAGAAACAAAGGCTCCGTTGCTTTATTTGATGACTTTCCAATTCTTCTTGCAGTGAACGTCCATGCAAACCACTTGTGACGAATCACAGAATTATATGTGCATATAGCAGTATCTTCCTGTGTTGTGTGTTCCTCCGCTAATGCTCTTACTTCTGCATCAACTATTGGTGGTGCCAAATCACGGCACTGTCTTGTCAGGGTGATAACCAACACAAAGTACTTCATGTATTCATTTGTATGGGTATCCATTCATCCCCACATTTTATGTTTTGAAGGGAATTCACCCGTTGAAGTACTGTCTCTGCACCGCCCAACCAAGATTGGCTTCGGTTAAGTCAGTTCACCGTGCAGTAGGTGTGTAAAGACATCGGTGATTTTGAGATAGGCACGCTTGTAATGAAATAGACAGAGCATCCATATTTAAGGGGAATAGTTCATCTGAGAGTGAGATATGAGTTTTAAGTTATGAGTTGGATTATCTTCACAGCTCTCCGGACACATCCATTGGTGCTCAGATTCTCCTCTCAACATATTCATCAGCGTCGCGCAGTTAACAGTGCCAGTCCTATGCTGGTTGACAACACTTTGTGTGCGTCCGGTGTGCTTCTCATGCTTGGATGTGCCGATCTTTACTCCAATTCTCATATTCGTAGCAGTGATGCGGACACGTTGTTTCCAAAATCATAGGAACGTCCTATCTCTCTTAGGGCATTGACAATGTCTGCGTGATTAATGGACCGGCCATCTTCAGTTAATGCGGCACCTGCCAGTCTTTCAGCTCTTTCATTACCAACAACACCTGCATGACATAGGACAAATATGAAGGTAACTACACACGCAGGAAAGTTTTGCAATAACTCAATCCACTGTCTGCGTAATCAGCCTGCCTCTGCCCGCCAGATCATGCTCAAAGAAGCACTCAGTACATACACGCAGGAATAGTCCTGTGATTCTAGCCATAAGAAAGCTTGTGTCACCGCCATCACCTCATCGTCGAGCTGCTGTTAGTCAGGAAGAAGGCACCGTTGGCTTCTTGAACTCTTCTGCCTGAAGAGCGAGCTGTAAATGCCCATGCACTCTCATGTTCTCCTATAATGGACCGGTCTGTAAAGATCAGCACATGGATCTCATCTGATTCGTCACTGATAACCTCGGCGTTGACAGAAGCGGGATTCTGCTCCCGACAACTCCTATCAAGCCTAACGACACATGAAAATGTGAGATTAGGCGCTTTAGACGCTGGTACCCATTCCTCGCCTGGATGGATATCTGTAAGGCTGCAGACTTGCATGATGTCATTCTCTGCCCTACCCAGCCATGATTTGCGCCTTTCAAGATAGAATCTGGACGACTTTTTACCCGCACGAAGAAAAACAGGAAAACTTTCATTCAGGTTACAGCTAGCACCATCAACCAACACTTGTTGGCTACTGATAAAATGGCAGATCATGCGTGGAAATATCTCGAGTGCAGCGACGTCAGTGATTTCATTCCCTGCATTTAAAACTAAAGCGAATGTTTGCTATAGGTCTTCATTGCGTCTGAAATCGAAATGGCTGTGTGAGATATACGTACAAAAGTCAGTGAAGTTCAAACTGTACCCCGAGTTGATCCGTAAAACCGGCCTGCGACCGGACATCGTTCTCCATTCTGCGCAAAAACGGCAGCTCATCCTGATTGAGTTGACTGTCCCGTTTGAGTCGCGTATGGAGGAGAATCATTTGTACAAGCTCGAGAAGTACAGTGATTTAGCAGCCGGTTTGAGAAGAAACGAGGCTTACACGGTACGGGTATTTGCCGTCGAAGTGGGAGCGAGAGGCCTCGTTTCCACTTCGCTCTACAATGTGGTGAAAGAACTAGGATTGCGCGGTAATGAACGGAAACGAACACTCAAAAAACTGGGAGAGGTAGCCGAAAGGGCCTCTAGCTGGCTTTGGACGCAGCGCAACAACGTAGGGGACGGGCCTCGGTGAGCTGGTCCGGGTGTCTAGTGGAAAGGAGTTTCTCATTCCTTTGAAAGTCCATCGTGTCCGAATTGTCTGCCAGTGTTCCTCTGCCAACTGCTAATAAAAGTCCAACATGTGTCCGGTAAAACAAAGTAAGCTTGTCGCTCGGTCGTCCAGGCATGCCGACTGCTTTAATTAGGCTGCCGCGGCGGCTTCTTATCTCACAATACCTCCTTCGAAACCACCAAGTCGTCTTGTCTCTGGCCGAAAGTAAAACACCATCCGGTAATCCCGTGCAGCAGGGAACCAGCCCTGAGCTTCATGAACTCAGGAGGGCCCACCTCCGAATGCGTCTTGGAATAGTGGGCCGAAACGCGTGTCGACGAGGATAATTTCTACTGATGACTGGTAGATCCCTGCTGTACTTGCTCCCTGTGAGTTTATTCCTATTGTACATGCTCCCCTGTGGAGTTTCTTATTATTATTATAGAGACTACATTGGAGATATAGATAATATATTTTAAGCGAACGAAACAAGAAGAAGAAGATAAGTACTTGGTGAATTTGGTGTTTAACGAGGTTGTAACAATTAAACTGTTTAGAAATTACATTATGTCAGCAACTCTCTAAATGTTTAATAACAGTGAAAGAGGTTATTTTGGAACAAGCACAGATATTTAAGTATCTAGGCACATGGATAACATCCAATGGAAGATGAATCAGAGAGATAAAGAGCAGAATATGACAGGCCAAAACTCTTTTATAAAATGAAGAACATTCTGTGCAAACAATCCATGTCACTGGAGTTTAGAAGAATTATCCCGTGCTAAATAGAACCATTTCGAACATATGAATGTGAATCCTGAACAATTAATCAACAAACCTGACACTATCTTGAGGCTTCGGAGATGTGGTTTTGCAAAAAAAAACTTTAGAATTCCTTACGCAGCTAAGAAGAGTAACCCAGAAGAGGAGACGAGTGCTCGAAAACGACATCAGAAAGGGATAGTCAAGATTTTTGAGAGACTTTTCTTTTTCTTCTTCTTTTTCTTCTTCTTTTTCTTCTTCTTCTTCGAGTTCACCAGCTGTAAACTCTGGCGGAAAGTTCTGGTTGTTCATCCACTTCTGGACTGCAGTCCTTTTCCAGAACCTGAGTGTTGCATGTGTGCATCCGTTTTACAGATCTGACGCAATTCTATGCAGACTGATGGTTCCTTGCCTCTCAGGCAGATGCACTCCGACTTCGAAGGAAGCTCCCAATTAGTCGACTCTTACGGCCCTATAATAGGGCCCTGGAACCAACAC